GCGATGAGCTTCCGTAGCTCCGACGCGAGAGTGGAAGTGGAAGAGAATGCAGTGACGGAGATGGATCTGCGTTGGCGTGAATTTCTCAGAGGCCATGAGAGATGATGGGATGAGTGAGATACAACAGACTGTCCTTATATACCCATACTTACCACCCACTCGCCAGGAATTGTCAAAGCCTGGAAGTCTTATTAGAACATGTTACATTCAACACCGACAGGACTTTTGCAACAACCTAATATGATCCTTCTGAATGAATGGCACAATATTTGGTCTTTAATGCTGAAGGCTCCCCACACCATCAACCTCTGTCTGCTTTTAGGAATTCTCTTGAGCTGCTTTTGATTGTTCTTGGACCAATGATGTATCCTATTTCTGAACAATTGATAACAGGTTTCATCAGAGAACACAGTCTGGCTCCAATCATCATAGTTGTGTTGCAGTGCCCATTGTACTCACCTCTCCTTTTGCTTCTGGGTCAGCATTGGCATCACTCAGGGTAAAACACTATTATAACTGAATAGAACAAGGTTCTGCACCATCCATCTGGACACATGCTGGCCTCTGTTCTTTTGCAATGTCCAGAAAATTTAATCAGCTGTTGTCTCACTGTTCCTTGGAATCCTCTGACTGATCTCAGTACTGTCCTCAGGTCTTACCATGCATCAGTGTTGTCACAGCCATTACCACCCTGATGCTCCATGGTACCTCACTCTTGGATCTAGCCATATTATACCCTGACAGTACAGACAGGGATCTTCTTTCAAGGAGTGATTTCAGCTACATGACAATAACCCAGATTCCAATAATGTAAGATTGGGTATGTAGGGTAAGGGTAACATAGGGTGAGCACTCCAATCATGTGCCATTTTCAGCAGACTCAATGACATTTTCCAGAGTTGTCATGCTCACTGTCTTATATAGCCTCTCCTTGACCTTTGAGAATGTTTTGGAAAAATCACTCTCAAACTTAGGGTGATATAGGGTGAAATACCCAGTGATGGGCCACGGTGCAGAAAAATTCAACGAAATAAGCATGCTAAGCTCGCACACGTATATCATGATAATATTTTCTTATAGGAGGGTTCTGGCAATCCATACATAGCCCTGGGCTCCGCCTCTAGCCGACGGGTGTGGAGAAAATATATATATATTGGATCCCCCTCAGAAAGTCCACGTTTTCTTGAGCTTCGTGTTAAGACGAGTGCTTGTGCATAAACTGTGTTTCTAAGTGTACATAGGGCTGCGAACATCATTGAAGTGTTTTCGTGTCACATCTGTTGACGTGGTCTGGTGTTGGGATGTCAAATTTGATATTAATCATCAAGAAAGCTATGAATAAGGGTGGCCCATCACTGAATCGACATAGGGCTGCGAACGTCATTGAAGTGTTTTCGTCTCACATCTGTTGACGTGGTCTGGTGTTGGGATGTCAAATTTGATATTAATCATCAAGAAAGCTATGAATAAGGGTGGCCCATCACTGAATCGACATGCACAAACTTACCCAGTGATGAACCACCTGGGCCATAACTGGTGCCATGAATCATTCGAGGGATGTCAAATTTGATATTAATCATCAAGAAAGCTATGAATAAGGGTGGCCCATCACTGAATCGACATGCACAAATTTACCCAGTGATGAACCACCTGGGCCATAACTGGTGCCATGAATCATTCGCGTTGTCTTAATGATGGGCCAATTTATATTTTCGGAAGGATATTATGCCTCCATAACTGATTATTTTGGTTACAGAATGCCTAACACTGCAAAGGTTCCCTATGATGAGGAGGCTATGGAAAATGCTATCCTTGCCGTGAGGAACTGCGATCTCACTGTACGTGGGGCGTCGAAGCAGTTTGCAGTTCCCAAAACTACACTGTCTGCTCGTCTGGAAGGCAAAGCCAAAGCTTTCATAGGGCCACCTCCAATTTTAACACACGAAGAGGAGAGGAGGCTGGTCAATTGGATCATTGCATCCCAAAAGAAAGGGTTCCCGAGGAATTGGGACGACGTACAAGATAGCGCAAAATGCTATCTCGATGCTGCACAGCGGTCAAATCCATTTGTGAATAATCGTCCAGGAAGAGCGTGGCGCAAGGGTTTCTTGAAACGGCACCCGGAGTTGACCCTCCGCACCCCAGAAGGAATCACGAAGGCCTCGGCATGCATTTCGAAGGAGGACATTCGGAGCTGGTTCAAGAACGTTCACAAGGAAATCTGCAAAAGGGTTTCTTGAAACGGCACCCGGAGTTGACCCTCCGCACCCCAGAAGGAATCACGAAGGCCTCGGCATGCATTTCGAAGGAGGACATTCGGAGCTGGTTCAAGAACGTTCACCAGGAAATCTGCAATGAGAATGGTGCTGCTGCATTGTCGGAGCCGGAACGGATCTGGAATGCGGATGAGACAGCGTTTGAACTCTGCCCCAAGAGTGGCAAAGTCTTGGCTCCTCGTGGAACCAGGAACGTGGACGTTGTGGCTATGGGACAGAAAAAAGAAAATCTGACAGTTCTGTGCAACTTTTCCGCTGCAGGAAAAATTGCCCCGCCCCTCATTATATTTCCGTACATTCGGATGCCTCGTGACGTTGCCGAATCTGTACCGGACGGATGGGGTGTTGCCCACTCAATCTGACAGTTCTGTGCAACTTTTCCGCTGCAGGAAAAATTGCCCCGCCCCTCATTATATTTCCATACATTCGGATGCCTCGTGACGTTGCCGAATCTGTACCGGACGGATGGGGTGTTGCCCACTCTGACAACGGATGGATGAAATCAGAAATTTTTTATGAATACATCTCAGCCGTGCTGCATCCTTACCTCGTAGCCGTGAAAGTGAAGTTTCCGATCATTCTGTTCGTCGATGGGCACGCGACCTATTTGACCATTCAGGTGAGTGAGTTGTGCTCCAAGCTGGGAATCATTCTTGTCTTGCTCTACCCCAATGCCACCAGAATTTTGCAGCCAACAGATGTGTCCATTTTCCGACCGTTGAAAGGCAATTGGAAGGCTGCTCTCTGTTCGTGGCATAAGGATCACCCAAATCAGGTTGTGACCAGAAGAGACTTTGCTGGCGTCCTGCAGGTGGCTATGGAAAAGATCACAATTAAATGTATTGTGAATGGCTTTCGAGTCTGTGGATTGTCGCCATGGGACCCAGAAAACGTGGATTATTCACGCTGTCTCGGAGTGAAAAAATCCCATGACGTCCTTGCTCTTGAAGAAGACACTGCTATTAGACCAACCCCCCAGCACATCTCCCTGCAGGACTTCAAAGAAGGGACCCAGAAAACGTGGATTATTCACGCTGTCTCGGAGTGAAAAAATCCCATGACGTCCTTGCTCTTGAAGAAGACACTGCTATTAGACCAACCCCCCAGCACATCTCCCTGCAGGACTTCAAAGACATCGTAGGAGGAGAGCTCCTCACTGCGCTCGAGACAGGGGTTCGACCCCAAGAACAAGAGGAGATCTGGACAGCTATGGTCAATTTGTTCCGTCGCTTCCTAAGTGTCAATCCCACTGTACCGCTCCTTGACACGGATGCAGATGCTGCTGCTGCTCCGGATTCAATGGTCGATAATCCTCCTCCAAGTCCCGTCCCCCGTCGACCTGTCAGTCCTCTCTATGCACAAATCGGGGCAGTTCCTGATGAGTCCCAGATTGAATCTGAAGAACTTGGACGTCCAGGGCCTTTCATCAATGACTTTCTTGTTTGGCCAGGGACTCCTAAAAGAAAGGGCTCTCGCAACACTGAGCGGTTCCCTTGGACATTGTCCAGTAAGAAATGGAAAAATATGTTTCGGGATAAGGATGACGGAAAGAAAAAAATTGAAATGCAGAAGGAACAACGGAAGAGAGTCCGAGAGGAAAAAAAAGAGCTGAAAGAAATTGAGGTAAAGAAGAGGAAGGACGAACGGAAGGCCAAGAAGAACCAACAGAAGAAGGAAAGAAAAAAATTGAAATGCAGAAGGAACAACGGAAGAGAGTCCGAGAGGAAAAAAAAGAGCTGAAAGAAATTGAGGTAAAGAAGAGGAAGGACGAACGGAAGGCCAAGAAGAACCAACAGAAGAGTGTTGCTGGTGAACCAGAGAGAGTTACGGGGAAACCGAAGAAAAGGATTAAAGAAGATATGGTGACTGTGACTAACGTTGGACTGACAAAGAAGCCCGGAGAAAACAAGAGCACCGAAGGACTGCGACTCACTGTAAACACATCCCGAATGATGACGAGGAATGCTAAAAGAGCTATTGATGCAATAAATTGATGCAATGTGACAATAAAGACAGCCGTATTCACTTAACGACTCTGACGTTAATACTTTTCATGCCATCCAAACCCACCGATACTGAGTGGACCATCATTGGATCCAACCCGGTCGATAACTGGAGTAAACCGGTCCATCACTAAGGCTTTTCGGGACATTTTGTAAAAAAAACTTTTGCCAAAAAAGCAATGAATGTTTGAAGAAGCTGTTCTTACCTGTGTTACTACATTTAAATTACACATCACCTCATCCACTTAATACCATCCTCATCTAAAAAATACAACTCAGAGAGAGCTTCAAAGAGCAAATACGTCCTTAAGTGGCCCATCACTGGGTCTTTTACCCTACACCACCGAGGCCAACGCTCCCTCACTAATTCTAGCAAATTCTTGTCTTCGCATCTGAGCGAGCATTATCCATCCTTGATGCTGGCGATCATTGGGTAGCCGATGGGACATTCAACGTTACCCCTCCATGTTATACTCGACTATATACCATTCACGCTCTCGTGAACGAGACTGAGCCATGTGTCTTGTCTTTGTTGAAAGATGATGAATCTGCTAGTTCATATACAGCATTGCTTTCGCACATCTCTGACGTCAGTCTCATCCTGTTCCACAATCCATCATGTTGGACCTATGATTTTTGAAATATTTGTGATGAACAATGAATTGACAAAATACATTATCTGCTAAAAGTTGAATGACTTCGATGTTTCTTGAATTTGCTATTGAGGATGTGACATCAGTCATAATTATGTGAAATTCTTGTCATGTACTTGGAAAATTCGGCACCAGGGAAGCTCTATATCACCACCTGCACTTACTTGTACTCCCAGACTCTGACCTGTTACCCGTTTCGAAGGAATCGATACATGGTCATTGTTACTGTCACCTGCAAGAGCTTCAAGCGGGCACACGAATTGAGGAGATCCAGAAAGACATGGTTATGGGAATTCACTATCACATCGATGTTTATTAGACAGGGAAATAGCATGAAGTTTTCTTTATCATAAATCTCTGAATCTCACTACCTCGCGCTTTGTTAAAGGGTGCCCCTTTAACAAAGCGGGAACGGCACGGGAACATTTCTAAAGGCTCATGTAATTAGTGAACCCATAGATTATCTTTTATCTGTGGACAAACATAAGAGTCGAGAAGAAGGAATAATGTTATCTCGATTCATTGACGCAACGCAGGACGTTTCCAAGAACATCTATGCAACACCAGGATATAGATCTGTCGATTGGCACTTGGAGTGGAGAATGGAGGATGCGTGGGACGTCTTTTGACGCCTCTCGAGTGGATAGGACTATTCGTGGTACAGATAAAAGAAAGTCCGAAGGAACTCAGAACGCAGTCAGCTTCAGGCTCCTCGACCTTCTCAAAGCATCTGTGTAACAGCACAACATGCAGAAGGCAGTGGGGGTAGTTTTGCTGTGGGTGCTTCTAATCACAAGTGGGTTTATCCTACAATCTTCATCTTCCAATTCTCTAGTCGTTGTTGTCTTTAATTTTCTACTATGGATTATATCTGCTTCGGCGGAGATAGGATAGAGACAGGAGTTCAAATTTAATTATTTTTCTCTTCAACTTTGTTCTTTCCATGTTTTATTTTGTAAAAATGCAGACACTGAATCCATTTCGAATGAGTCATTTGTATTATTCACTTCTTACTGCACCAACTTCATGGGTGAAGAACAGGAACCAATCTATAATAACAATAACCCATTGCATCACAATTAAAGTCCATTTGAAAAGTCAATCATCATCCCGACGCCAACGGGGTTTTCTCTACCTCAGAGCTCTACTGGATACACTACGATTGTTTCCAATGCTTCGGAATGCTCCATATTCCCCTTTGTTTCTTGGTGCTTGTCCGACAATTTTCAACACTCATTCCATGAGTTGTCCGATAAACTTTTTTTTTGCAGCTGGAGGAGCGGAGAAAAGAAAGCCAGATGGCGTTGCAAGCACTGGTGGACGAGCTTTTCAATGTCCAGAAGCTGAAGGTCGATACCCTCACGAAAGCCTCTGCTACATGTTCTAAATCTGACAGTTCTGTGCAACTTTTCCGCTGCAGGAAAAATTGCCCCGCCCCTCATTATATTTCCGTACATTCGGATGCCTCGTGACGTTGCCGAATCTGTACCGGACGGATGGGGTGTTGCCCACTCCGACAACGGGTGGATGAAATCAGAAATTTTTTATAAATACATCTCAGCCGTGCTGCATCCTTACCTCGTAGCCATGAAAGTGAAGTTTCCAATCATTCTGTTTGTCGATGGGCACGCGACCCATTTGACCATTCAGGTGAGTGAGTTGTGCTCCAAGCTGGGAATCATTCTTGTCTTGCTCTACCCCAATGCCACCAGAATTTTGCAGCCAGCAGATGTGTCCATTTTCCGACTGTTGAAAGGCAATTGGAAGGCTGCTCTCTGTTCGTGGCATAAGAAACTCCCAAATCAGGTTGTGACCAGAAGAGACTTTGCTGGCGTCCTGCAGGTGGCTATGGAAAAGATCACAATTAAATGTATTGTGAATGGCTTTCGAGTCTGTGGATTGTCGCCATGGGACCCAGAAAACAGGGACCCAGAAAACGTGGATTATTCACGCTGTCTCGGAGTGAAAAAATCCCATGATGTCCTTGCTCTTGAAGAAGACACTGCTATTAGACCAACCCCCCAGCACATCTCCCTGCAGGACTTCAAAGATATCGTAGGAGGAGAGCTCCTCACTGCGCTCAAGACAGGGGTTCGACCCCAAGAACAAGAGGAGATCTGGACAGCTATGGTCAATTTGTTCCGTCGCTTCCTAAATGTCAATCCTACTGTACCACTCCTTGACACGGATGCAGATGCTGCTGCTGCTCCGGATTCAATGGTCGACAATCCTCCTCCAAGTCCCGTCCCCTGTCGACCTGTCAGTCCTCTCTATGCACAAATCAGGGCAGTTCCTGATGAGTCCCAGATTGAATCTGAAGAACTTGGACTTTCTTGTTTGGCCAGGGACTCCTAAAAGAAAGGGCTCTCGCAACACTGAGCAGTTCCCTTGGACATTGTCCAGTAAGAAATGGGAAAATATGTTTCAGGATAGGGATGATGGAAAGAAAAAAATTGAAATGCAGAAGGAACAACGGAAGAGAGTCCGAGAGGAAAAAAAAGAGCTGAAAGAAATTGAGGTAAAGAAGAGGAAGGACGAACGGAAGGCCAAGAAGAACCAACAGAAGAACGCAACACTGAGCGGTTCCCTTGGACATTGTCCAGTAAGAAATGGAAAAATATGTTTCGGGATAAGGATGACGGAAAGAAAAAAATTGAAATGCAGAAGGAACAACGGAAGAGAGTCCGAGAGGAAAAAAAAGAGCTGAAAGAAATTGAGGTAAAGAAGAGGAAGGACGAACGGAAGGCCAAGAAGAACCAACAGAAGAGTGTTGCTGGTGAACCAGAGAGAGTTACGGGGAAACCGAAGAAAAGGTTTGAAGAAGATATGGTGACTGTGACTAACGTTGGACCGACAAAAAAGCCCGGAGAAAACAAGAGAACCGAAGGGCAGCAACTCACTGTAAACACATCCCGAATGATGACGAGGAATGCTAAAAGAACTATTGATGCAATGAATTGAGGCAATGTGACAATAAAGACAGCCGTATTCACTTAACGACTCTTACGTTAATACCTTTCATGCCATCCAAACCCACCGATAGTGAGTGGACCATCACTGGATCCAACCCGGTCGATAACTGGAGTAAACCGGTCCATCACTAAGGCTTTTCGGACAATTTTGTAAAAAAAAATGTTTGCCAAAAATGCAATGAATGTTTGCAGAAACTATTCTTACCTGTGTTACTACATATAAATATGTTACTAATATGTTACATATGTTACTACATATAAATTACAGTTCGCCTCATCCACTTAATACCATCCTCATCTAAAAAATACTACTCAGAGAGAGTTTCACAGAGCAAATACGTCCTTAAGTGGCCCATCACTGGGTCTTTTACCCTATCTCAGAATGGAAATCTGGGGGAAAAATTCAAAGACGTTTTCTTCAAAAAAGGAAAATCGTTGTACGAATGATATTCCCAAGGAGGCACAAGGTCGCAAAAAACTCCGTTCGTTCGCCCCAATGACAAAAATAAAGTTCCTACATACGTGTATTCCGTTCATCTGATTTTAAATTTGATGTTAGTAAATTTTCAACAAAATTTCACAAGTCAACTCGCATTTTTATTTTTGCGTTTGAAGATTTGACTGCATAATTGTATCAAGTAGCTGCTTTTTATTGTTCCCAAAGTTTGATTCCACTGCATTCCCACTTTTATGTCCAAGAATATCGAGCGTATGATTATCTGGCAAAAAGAAAAATGATATTTTTCTGGAATTGAAGTCAAAGATCAAGGTCTCTGACATTTGAACTTCGTATTTATTGCAACTGCATACAAATCATTGGAATGAAAGGAAAATAGCTTGAGAATGGCATCAATTTAACTCCTGTCAGTTAATTGGCCGAAAACCTGTGGGCCCTTAAGTGATGACCACCAGACTCGAAATCAATCATATCTGGCAGCACTTAAATCGCTGCACCTTAGGCATCGTTGGACAAGAAATCTAATACTTGACGAAATGTGTTTTTAAATATACTTTCAGATTTTCACATTTCATTTAAAAAAATTAGGAATTGGGTTAATGTTCGACAATATGTTGTCGTGCTGCGTGGACATCGTTTATGTACATGGAAAAAAGATTAAACATTTGAAAAAGACTTGATTTTTTTGCTGGATAGGATTACTTGGAACTTTCCTGCCTATCTGATGGGAAGTATCCCTACCAAAATTTCTTCTTGAAAAGAAAAGAAAAAAATCATTATTATGTGAACCATAATAAGAAATTAGTGACAGAGTTACCTAATATCAACCAGAGATACACAACCTTCTCGTATCGGGACAATAAGTAAATTTTGGTAAATTTTAATCGTGCGGATGAAATTTAGTGATTTCATTATTAATTTTGCCGTTACAATATGGGCCATTCTATCCCGATTCACAAGCATGCGCCAATTATCGATTGCTTCCAGCTTGACGGAGAATAATCATTCTTTTTCTCAATATCTCAGAAAATATATATTTCGCAATCGGGCCCATTTCTGGGAGGTTTTAAAGGTTCTCCATAACTATTGGGATAATTGTCTTTGAGAATTATTGATTTTCCACCAACTCAATCCCTTTGATTCTTCTACAAGCCTAGATTCCATCAAACGACTCTTATGCACAGATCAGCCAACGGATGTCTCTCACGCACACAAGCCACCATAGCTGAAACGAATAGGATGAATCCCTGTCATTTCGTCCCTCTTATGTCCAGGTATCGCTTGAAACATGAGGAACTAGATCGAGAAAGGCGATCGACGGTTTTGAGACACCATCTGCTAGAGCAGACGCAGAGCTGAAGCCGGAATAAATTTCCATTTAAAGACCCTCATTCACTGGAGTGGGCAAGCCGGCTGCACGCTCATTGCTACCATTACAGGACATAGTCAGGGAGAATAATCTTTCATTCTGGGGTGGAGAAAATGAACCGCAACATTAGGAGAGTGCTGAGTTTGTGAAAAACTGAATAATTGCCACACGTTTCCCTACGCTTCTAAAATGAAGGACTTTGAACTCCTGTGAAAAAAAAATGTTGAAGTCGGAGTAATTACTCCCACCACAACTGTGGTTTTTGCCCCTTCGCCGTTCTTCATCTTCCCGTTTTCAAATCGTATATCCCAGGCTCGTTGGTATTCGCTATTTGATATTCTCAGGCTTTGGTGTTTCTAATAATTAGTTTGTAGCAAGAGCCGGGCATCAAAATATAGTGGTGCATTATTCAGCTTCACGGATGCGTGGAATTCAATATTGAAAAAATTCATTTTGTACTCACTGGTCGATTTGGGTCTTGAATTTTGACCCGATAGATGGAGCTTTATGCTAATCGCTTTCGACGGGGAGGGGCATGATCCATTATGAATTCCTAAGGAATAGAAGGTTCATGGACAGTTACAACATTTGCATTCAGTCACTAAGGGTGAACAGCATATTTTACGATGTACTATAGTAACCTGAGGTGTTGCAACAAGAGAATGCACTCCTAGGTAGTGAGTTTGTCATCGAAAATTCCATTATTTTCAAATTCAAAACTTTTTTTCTTGTCGGGAAGTAATTGGACGACAATTTTCTTAAGAAATTGAATACGCTTTCACCAGTAATATATTTAAAGGGCATTAAAAAACATTAGCCACCATTTTGTTGTCTTTACGAAACGTTATCTCTTATCGTGTAAAACTCTGTAACCCAGGGCAAAGTTAGAATAAGGGATTCCTTTATAGTACATGTAGCAAAATAAGGATGTGAGTGTGAGATCAGAACGCACAATAATACAGTCAACAATGGCAACGAGAACAGCCCAAAACATTTTCGAAATGACCATGACGCGGTTCTTCATCAACTCCAGTGTCATCATTTTTCAACATAGTTACCCTTAATGAGAATGCACTTTTCTTATCGTTAATTAATCCCATTTATGTCAGTGTTTAACCCCTCGTTCTCGAACCCCTCTAGCAGCCCTTCCGTTTCGCGCTTCACTGCATTTCCGTCCTGAAATCTCTTCACATACAAGTATCCCTTCAGACATCGAAACGCGTAAAAATCACTGGGTGTCTGGTCGGATAAATGAGATGTGTCCGGCAATTGTTCCATGTCAGCATCACGGAAGGCGAACCTGTGAAGCATCCGCTGTTTCTTTTTCACGGATTCGCACTATCTCCACTGTATAGTAATGGCCTTTGATGGTACTGCTAGGTTCACATGGTTGATGCGAATGACTCTCAAAATGTCCAAGAAATTCGTTGCCATAGCTTGCCGGTTGAGGCTTGATCCGAAACTTCCTGGGTGGCAGAGAGTCCTTGTGCCTCAACTGCATCGACTGCTGTGCTGGATCGCAGTTTCACCCTTGAAGAATGGCGAAACCATGGAAAGCATATACGTGGGGCTTTTCGAAGAACTTTTGGAACGTCATAGACAAGGCTCAGTTCTGTTTTGCCGTAAGTCCCATTTCTCGAGATAGAGCGAGGGTACGGAATGTCTTTGCCGGAGTCTTGCTGCGCCTCTGCTAAAACTTCCTCAATTAACGCTGCTTATTCTCAACCGAGTGTTCCTCACAGGAAGTCCCAACGGACACGGGCGTAATTATTTCACTTAAACGTCAAGCCCCAAACTCAGGCAGTGACATCGACTATTCATGCCTTCGATTCACGACCTGCCGAAAATGAAAGTACTACTGATGAAATTGAAATGGAAACTTAGCTACGAATATATTTCCTGCCGAGATTGCGACGACCATAGCCGAATTATATCGGAATTCTGTTAAACATCATCCAGAAACCCTTGCAGTTGGGCGTTTCCATACAGATTTTGCTTTTCTTAATGTTTCCCCTGTCTAGAGTTTCAGAATATCGGTTCTTAATTGGTTTTAAGTGAAAATGAACCACCCAACACGGCCTTGAATTCCGTTGGCTTTTGCACGCTTAGAAAGGGATTGCTTCCCTTCGCACCGACACCATTCCTCCCCTCCCTTCCCCCTCTCTTTCCCCTCCTTCCCCTTTCCGACCCCTCCCTTGCCCTATCCTCCTCCCCTCATCTCTCCTTCCTCCCTCCAAGGAACTCACAGGAAACCGAGGGTTTCAAGAGGGGATCCTTACATACCATTAGCGGTTAACTCAAAGAAAATTAAGCATGTGTAGATCCCTTGCCAGTCATTTCCCAGCGACGTAATTGCACGCACCAATTGCACCAACTTCCGGAGTAATTAAACTCCGGAAGTTGGTCTGGAGGGGGAATAAAAATGTCGAGGAACGAAGAATTCACCGCGACATTCATCAGCCGTTCCCTAACCATAATTTCGAATGTGACCCCTTTCGTCAAGCTTCCTTAGCTCCATTGAACTAACAGAATGCAGAATAGAAAGGAGCTGTGAAACGGTATGTAAAATAAGTTAAATGAAGTGCGTGAAAACCATTCTTCAAAGGCTCTTCCAATCCCTCCCCCTCCCCCACTCTACGGGACTTAGGCCTAGGCCTAAACCGTAGACTGTCTTCAGGTCAGGTCAATGCCTCCCTTCCTTCATTCAAGATAAATTCAATTATTGATTCACCCATACGGGGGTAATTAGACCTATAAGGTTTAAGAGTGTCTATTTTATAGCGTCTGTACCAATAATGTCCATACCGAACTATCTCCCAGACATTTCGATGAGGACGTACAACGTTTGGCCTATCCGGAGTGTAACTCGGGAATGAAATGTATGTCTCGCACCATCCTGTTAATTCAAGGATATCCGTGCACGACATCCCCATATCCCACCCCTAGTAGCACATAACTTTGAATCAGCATTGTTTCTATGCTGATTCAATATACAGATGTTGAAACCACATTGAATACATGTTGTTTCGATGTTATGTGCTACTAGGGACCACATCCATTGGGCCAAAATAACCAACGATTCAATCCCAGCGCAACCCATGAACTCAGCACAAAAAACATATCATGTGTTTAAAAAAAACTGAAGATCCAGACACAGACACGA